TAAAAAAGAAACGAAACTAAACGAACATGAGAAAGGTGGTGGGCAACGAAAAGAAAGGTGAAAATGCAAAAGTGAATGTTATAAAAAAAGAAGAAAAGTGGGGTGGGATAGGAGGGGGAATTGTGTGAAAAGAAAAATATAGTTTAACACGTGTAATCGATCCTGACATACGTTTACACATCATACACACACATACACACACATACAACACACGTACGTTTAAAAAAATGACAAAACTGAATAAATGATTAACGTGATTAAATAAGGTGATTGCAACGACTGAATATAATTAATATATAATACTCTTCAAAGTGTGAGTCGTTCTTTCATTTCTTTTTATTCCAATTTAAAAAAAAAAAAAAAAAAAAAACCTAAAAAGAAATATCCCTCCTCTCCCCCAGTACCGTATATCCAACCTCATTGCAACACGTATTACAAATTCTTTTAATTTAAATAAATTACATTATTTTAACAAAGATTATAAAATATAGATTGAATTTGATTGTTTTATTAATTGCATTGATATTTATTATTTAAATGAGTATCAAATTGATTCATTATCTTCTTATATTTGTACAAGACTATTAAACTTTTTATTAAATAATGTTCGTTATAATAAAATTCGATAAAAAGAAAAAAAAATATACTCTCTCGAACTATTAATAAATTAATAAATTAAAAACTTATAGCGAGTATACAAAATTAGAAGAATTTATATATATAGATATATATTATACATGAATAGATTATTCATATTATTTATTCCTATAAGTATCTTGATTATTATTTAAAAGTTTCTTATATGTACACGGTATTATTTTCATATAACTCTCAAAAATATCCGACAAATTTCTGAACAAGTATCATCGAAATAGTTAGACCCACTCCACTCACCACCTCCCTTCTCCCACATTCCTTGATATTTAACCTTGCATCTAAAAAAAAATGTCTATTAAATCATACACAAATAAGATAAGATTAACAATAAAAAATAAAAATATACAAAAACAAATTTGAGAAAAAAATAAGACGAAGATAACAACGACGAAATAAAAGAATAAGAATAAGAATAAGAATAAGTAGAAGAAGAAGCAGAAAAAGATAATTTGAGAGATTTGGTCCAATCGTGGTTTAGAGTCTGCGTTTCGTTAAACGCAGTTTGGAATATGGATCGATGATGAGATAGAACGAACGAACGAACGAACGAATGGGTATATATGTGCGCGTGCCCGCGAACGTACACATATTCGTTGTGTTGCTTGGATACGAGAAAAGTAGGAGGATAATAAAAAGAGTTAGAGAGAGAAAGAGAAAGATGAACAAAAAAAAAAATATATATATATATATATATATATATATTATATAGATGAAAATTGTGGAAGTTCCTTCCAGTAGTATTTCGTTTCGTGTCGAACCTAACCAATTCGATTTTGTTTAAAGTAAACTGTTGAAATTCTTCATTGTCAATCACTATCTTTATCTTATTCTCTTTCTCTCTTTCTTTATCTGACACAAATATATTTTTGCTCGTAAAACACGCGAAATTTTGAAATATCACCGTGTCCTTTTCTATCTTTGGGTTATCCACGTTGCGTTCTCGTCACGTTGCACATTTTCGTATTTGAAAGATTCGAGGAAAAGGGGTGGGAAAGAAGGGGTGGGAAGAAAGAGGGAAGGGTTTACGTAAGATAAACGTTTACCTCCGCAAATTTCCAGTACAAATCGGTAAGGACCGACCGTAACATCCCTGACGCAACTTATCCTACCTATACGTTTTAATTGGCAACGATTCAATTCTTTTCCTTTTTCTAAAAAAAAAAAAAAACAAAAAACGTTTTCGAAATTCGTCAGAGAGAATGAAAGAGAATGAAAGAAAATGATTTATGCGAGATCGAATATTATTTTTCTCTCTCTCTCTCTCTCTTTCTCTCTCTCGCTTTTTTATTTTGTTTTTACAAACGCGTTTTATTTTCCATTTTTTTCTTTTTTCTTTTTATTTTTTTTTTTCTAATACAGAACCATGAGATAATTAGCAAATCTCGTTAAACGTATAAGAAGAAATAAATTGTGTTTATACGGGAATTTTTCAGATGATTAAATTTCTGTTCGTTCGTTCCTCAAAAACATGTTTGTATTATACATTGATGAATTACTCGTTGATCTCATTAATCTCGACTTAATTTTCTTTCTTTCTTTTTCTCTTTTTTACCCGATATATTAAACCAATTCTACTCTCTCTCTCTCTCTCTCTCTCTCTCTCTCTCTCTAATTATTTCTCATTAAATGTTAAATGAGAATTAGATCGAATTAGTACATAATGAAGTTTCGCATTACGTTTAAAGATATAAGAAACATAAACTCGAAAGGTATCGTCGCGTTTGGATCGATATAACGTAGGAAGAAGAGTATACCGCGCTGGTATCGTGAGAAAGAGAAAGAAAGAGAGAGAGAGAGAGATACACACACATTTCGTGAAGCTTCAAGCATCATGTTCTCACGGTCCAGAGAGTATCAAACGGCTGTTCGATAGAACAGAAAGAGAGTAGTAGAGTATAGAACACTTCTTTTCTTTTCTCGGATTTTCTTTGAATAGTAGACAAATTTTCATTTGTCATTATCTCAAATCGACTAATCGAAAATTTAAACTACGTTTAAAAGAACCTATTTCACGTTTTCTTCTTCTTCTTTTTTTTTTTTGTATTTTGCTTCGTTTTATTTTTTCATTCATTTGTTTATTTTTTATCCAAACTTATTCGCGAAAAACAAAAATGGTCTTCTATGTAAAAGAAAAGTGATTGGAAAACGTTTTATTTTTGAATTCTCGTTATTTCATCTTTGAGATAGAAAGATAAGAATAAAGATAAATATAAAGAGAGAAATCCTTGGAAGGTTGCCCGAATACAACAACAACAACAACAACAACAACTACAACGATGGAAATGACTTCAATGAACAGTAAGTGTGAATGAAGTCTTCTTATATGTACTATATATATATATATATATTACTTTCTATAGATATATTCTATATCTTACGTGTTACGTTGAACTCGAAATAAATAAGATGACGGATGATCTTATCGTTTCTTTTCCTTTTTTATTTTCTTTTTTGGCAATGATGTAAGATAGAAAACAATTTTACGTATTGAAATTTGGCATGAACCCCTGAACAATGGCTTCCATTTTTTATCCGATGTATTTCCATTGTACGGTTGATAAATTATTGATAGTACACGAAGGATAATGCGACTTTATCATTGGAGGAATATATTTTTACGTTGTCCTGTTAGGTGGCAGTACTAGTAAGAGAATTGTAGCGGTACGACCGATGGTCGCGCCATCTAAGTTACTAGAAGGCTAGGGAACYACRYTWGCAAGTGTGGTCACCAGACGAGTACAGTCTGTGCGTAGCCGTTGAGAAGTGTACAAGAAAGAAAAGCAAGTCGCATCCTAACAATAAAGATCATAAAACAAATTCAGTCTAATATTATCTTTACTATAGAGAAACCCTCTACAGAATTTTAAGACCCTGTAGGAGGGACGCGCCATACATATTGCTGGGGTTGCTATTGGCTGAAAATTTTGGGAGACAGCATCCGATGCAACGCGCAGTTATGTTTATCCTTTAGTATGTATAAATAACGGCTGTGGTTAGTTATGAAGATATAATACCCAGGAATCCTAGCTGATTTATTAATATTGAAAATTAAAAACAAATTGTACGAATGATTAAAATAATTGTAAATATAATATATATATAGTAGATAATTGTATTTATCAAAATTGTATAAATTCCTACAAGTTGTTTTGAAATTTCAAAATACTCTAATGCCTTTTATCAAATCAAACTTAATTGAATCTTTTCTTTTTTTTTTTTTGAATTTATAATAATTTTTGTTGTGTAACCTATTCTATTTTAATAATTATTTTGTAAATATTATTAAATATGGTTCATTTGTTTCTGTATTTGATGCAATTCATTATTTTATAATTTTTTCAAACCAATTCACCACTCTACCTCCTACACTATTCACTATTACTATATACAACTTTTATACTATTTAAAATGTTTGATTCATTCGCGCGCAATCACGTGACTACATAAGTTCCTGTCCCCCAAAATTCTTTGGCGCGTCCCTCCTACAGGGTCCCTAGAGAATTAATATTTTGTTTGTTTCTTCTCTTTTGATTTTTCTCGTACTTGAGGGTTAAAGCTGTTGTAAGAAACTCTTTTTTCTTATTTATTTTAATCAACATTTTCATTAGAAATGATTCACTTTGAAGATAGTTATCGTTAATATGTTTAACGCATGTCAACAAATGTTATCGTTTTATTTATACGAGTCATTTCATTGTTTGCTACTAAGTTTATCGATCGTGATCGATCAGCGACATATAATTTCTCCAGAAAATGAAATGCTATGGGAATCGTGTTACAATTAAGATACTTATCATATAAAACGTACGAAGCATGACTCGAGAACAAACGTAATCGATAAATGTCCCTTTCCTGTTGTTGCACGTTAACATGTTTTGTGAATATTTTATAATTATGCAACTTTCTTTCGTCTTTTACGATAATAATGAAAAAAAAAAAAAAATAATAAAAAAAAGAAAACACAAAATTAATCGATATTTTACGTAGAATTATTTTTTCCTTGAAACGATTAACCAAATGGATATATTATGATCTAGTCTTCTAATGATGTTAACAAAAAAAGAAAAAAAAAAGGAAAAAGTAAAGGAAATCAAAAATATGTCAATGTATGTATATATATACATAGACGTATACTTTGTATGTGTGTTAATGTTCTAATTTTCGACTAGCTAACTTTGGCTATGAGCCATCTTTCGAATACCGATTTCACGGTATAAAATGTAACTCTTTAAATGAAAAGCTACGAGAAAATAAGGAAAGATTATTATCTCGTTCTCGATTTTCGCATGAAAAGACAATGAATGGTTTGAAAAAAACATTAAAAAAGATATTACGAAAAAAACTAACAATAAATTGATTAATTTAAATGACATTCTTATATAAACTAACCTCATGATGATCCGAATCGAATTGGATCATTCAAAATGTCAGACATTTTTTATTTTACAGAACGTTAATTTTCAATGATAATATCGATATATATATATATATATATATATATATATATATATATATATATATATATTTAAGATGGAACTAATTAAAAAATATAATCGATATATTTCTATGAGTTTTTCGATCGAAAGATGCATGTGTGCATGATCGAAATAAAAGATTCATGTCGATACCGATCGTTAGAGTAAAGTCACGCATGAAGACTCACTCGATCGGTAAAGGATAATAGATAAAAACGTGTTGTTTATACTTAGGTCAATGAACCACCAATGGCTTTGTCTGTTAAAATATAAACGTACTGTTCGTTTGGAAAGATATACCGTATAAAAGTTAGTATAGTTGCACGCGAATAAATGGTAAACAGCGATGTAAGAGGGAGTCTTTATCTAAAATAACGTGTGTGCGGTTTTTGTGAAAAAAAAAAAAAATAAAAATAAAAGAAAAGACGAAGAAATTTCATTTTATTCGAATTAATATTAAAATCTTATTACATCAGAGTGATTGATGATCTGTCAATTCGATCGAGTAATATAATAATAATGAAAATCGATTAGTAAATTAAAATTAGATATTAAATCGTTATTATAAAATTCATGGTCTTTTTTGTCGTAAGAAAATCTGGGACAAAGATAATACGAGTACGTACATATGTATATATGTATATGTAACTCCTAAACGAATAATAACGGATTTGCAAACGAAGTAATTACATTCTCGAACATCCGTTAATGAAATCTCGAGCAATGTCGAATGATTATCTGAGAAGCGTACACACATATATACATAGGTATAATATCTGCTACATATTTGACTAATAATATAAGTAAGTAGTACTTATATAAACATATATATATATATACACACATGTAAAGGTGAAATACGAGAACCTTGAATAATCAGCTGCATCTTGCTGACTGTGAAGATAATTGTGCTTGTGTTAGGAATAGCTTACAAAGTAAGAAAGATCAAGCCAAGAGAATAAAGTAGAAGAAGAAAAAGAAGAAGAAGAAGAAGTAGAAGTAGTAGTTAGTAAGAAAGAGAGTCATGAAACGTGGTATAAAAGCAGGCAAGCGTGCATGTGTCATCATGTAGAAAGAAAGAAAGAGAAACAAAACACATTGGGAAGAAAGAGTGGGAAAGAGAGAGTGGCATCGTTCTCCAGCTTGGAGGTATGTTATAATACTCTTTCGTGGTTAGTATACCGAGAGTACTCGACTGAAACGCGACTATTCCTTTTACTTACCAACTATATATCTCTATATATATTTGTTAATAATAAAGTTTTGTTTTAATAAACATTACATTATTATAAATAATATTGAAACAACGTTAAAACGTTCCTGCCCGATGTGCATTCAAGTAAAATACTAACTAATCACGTGATCGTAAAAAATAGTGTTAATAACAATGGCGCCGTTTTACGCGGGAAATACGATTTTTTAAAGTTAACGTAAGTACATTTGTAATTTACTTTTATTCGTGATCACACATCGATTCATCGATCTAGTATTTATATAAGTACGTCATAAGACGAACTAATATTTGCTTTTCATAATCTTATATAATCTTTAATAAAGAAGAGATAAAGATAAGTTTTCAAGTTGAGAGAACGTATCTAATGTTTTTATCAAAAGTATGCTCTCGTTCGAGAAGTACATTTCTTGATCGCACAATTAATGTTAGTCTTCTTAAGTATAACATAATATCATGAATTGTTTTCTTTATCCCGTATTCTCTTCTATTATTTTAGTTAAATTATTGACATTACTAAAGAGAAAGAATCTCTTTCGTAAAATTATTTAAACCGATGACTGTACCAGACAAACTAATCTTATCGTCTACTGACAGCCTTTCGCAAACGTAGAATTCGCAAAGGGTAAGGTCGTCCTGTGGTTTTTTGGAGAATCGGAAATAACAAGATAAAGTCCGTACGTCCGTACGTTTCCAAATGAATTCTGAGAAAACGTGTGACAGACATTACACAAAGTAGTTTCGTTATCATTTCGTAAAAGCTTTTAAACCCTAGGCTCGTGTTTATATATTTATAATTTATGTTAAATCGTTGAATTTATCCACTAATTACTTTTGAACGATCCATTTGTTGTTTTCATACTAATGACATTATTATGATTATCTTACTAGTAGTTGAGAAACTCTGTTGTTACTATTATCTATCTAATTGAAGTTTTAATCTATTCAACTGCAATCCGTTTTTATCTATTAAAATTTATTCCAAATCGTGGGTTGAAATTAGTAATGTTATTAATGCGATTGAAATCTTTTCACAATGGATAGACCAATCCAACCACCAAGTGGTAAGGGAAGGGGGGATTTTCATAGATCTTTTTCTAATCCTGTATCAAGGGCAAAGTTGAGTACCTCTACTCGGGACGAGAGCGACAGGTTGTCGGAGGCACGCCTTTTGCCAACTTGTTATACTCCTTGAAATAATCCATGCCCTCTTGTTGTTACATATATATATATATATATATATATATTTCATATACTCGTGCATTTCGTCTACGACGACGAGCACTTAAAAAAAAAACGAATTAAAGTAGACCTACAATGATCCTTTATTCAAAACGTTAATTATTTTCACTCTTACACGAGTGGGTTACTACCTACACGAGGTTTACTCGACGGCTTGTTGGGTTTCTTTTCAATGACAATGCATGCATGCATGCATGCAGGAGAGAGAGATAGAAAAAGAGGAAAAAGGAAATGTTGCGCAACATGATTACGAAACTGGTACGATTCTCTGATTGTGGAATCGTTCAATCGGACACAATTTTCTTATTCAAGTTTTTTTATCCCTTTCTCTCTCTCTCTCTCTCTCTCTCTCTCTCTCTCTCTCTCTATTTATATCAATCCGGTTTCTTAACTTTTTTTTTTTTTAATTCTATTTCATTGGCATCGTCTTATCTCGTAATAACAAGAACTAGAATTACATTTTTAAATAATAATAACTTCTTAATTAGAAAAGTCTAACACGTGAATGATACTTGTAAATGATATATAATAAAAAAAAAAAGAATTAATTCAGAGTCGTTTAAAGTATACGAACTAGTTGATACGATAATGATTCATCAATGAGTACTTGTTATAACGATAAACACGCATTGTCTTTTAATCATCGATTCTATTTATGAACAAACCAATTAATTATATATCTGTAATATAATACTTCAATATTATTTTTCGTTCGATCTTTGATTTTCGTAAAAATGAAAAATATAATATGTTCTGAGAATATCTGGAAATGGATGTTTTTCATCAGTTTTTCTCCCCCAAACTAACTTTTACTTCGAACCCCAACCCCGATGAAAGAAAAAAAAAAAAAAAAGAGTAGGAGAATAGTATGCTTTATATCAGGTATAAAAAGGTTAGGGAAGGGACACAAACTGAAAGGGGGAAAAAAAGGGAAGGGGAAACCGATTCTTAACCGTGCTTAACCTGGATGCACCAGGTGCGTTCAACTCATAGAAGAAGAAAAAGAAGAACCGTAGTACACAGTTTTCCTGCAGTCATCTTCCAAACATCCCACTACCAACAACAACCATTGTCTTCCTCTTCTTCTTCTTCTTCATCATCTTCTTCCTCGAACTTGTTCATTGGATAATGTTCCGAGAAATGTTTACTATCGTTGTAAATTTTTTTTTTCTTTTTTATTAAACCGATCAAGAAACGATCAATCGATTTTCTTATCGTATCAGCTTTCTCAAACGTAGTCAGCTATCGCGTTATTTCCATTGGTTCTCATCACTGAACTCATCAGTCCAACACCGATTGTGCTGTGTTGAATTTCGCAGATAAAAAAAAAGACCTCTCTTTGTGTTTTTATTATTGTGTGTGTGTGTGTGTGTGTGTGTGTGTGTGTGGTGCTGAAGCTACATAAATCGCGTTGGTTTTTTTGATCATCGCATTAAACTAACGAACGATCATCTCTTCACTATTTTTTAATTATTAGAAAAGAAAAGTTTCAGTTGTGTGTGTGTGTGTGTTTTTTTTTTGTTTTTTTGTATAAATAATTAACTGTGAAGAAATAATTTCTTTTATTATATTGGACTTTTGACGTTTTCCCATTTAGTTGTTCTTTCTTCTTGATTTTAAACGACCATGGCGTCAAGGAACAACGGTGAGTCATAAATACCAAGAGAGATCTCTTTGATGCACGAGTTCAAATATAATTTAATGTGTGTGTGTGTGTGTGTTTGTGTATGTGTTATATGTGCGTGTGTGAGTAATGCATTGGTTTGTATTCTGACGTTCTTTTACCGTGTCACGAAATTCTTTTTAACTTCATTTCACATAAGAAATAATTAAAATTAGAAATGTTAAAAAAAAAAAGAAAAAGAAAAAGGTTTGGACAAATTTGGATTAAATTTTCACTAAGAGGGGAGGAGGGAGGATAGGTTAGTAGAAGGGGTTCTGTTAAAAATATAAAAATCATTAAAATTCGAAATTTTTATAAAAGAAAAAGAAAAAGGTTTAGAAAAATTTTCACTGTCAGGGATTGGGGGGTGGGGTGGGGTGGGGTGGGGGAGAAGAGGGGTTGTTAAGAGCACAACGAGATAACTGACGATAAACTGCAATTACGTGGAAAAATCGATCGATAACTATGACTGTGTGTCGTCATTCGTTGCGGAAATATCATCGGAAGGATCTTCCTCACGATTATTTATTTTCATCCTTCTTTCCTTTCTTTCTTTGTCTAGATTTTTTGTTCTTCTTTTTTTTTTTTTTGTTCTTTTGTTTTACCTATTTTCTTAGAAAAAAAACACAACGGTTCAGAGTGCAGTTAGCTAGTCGTCGGTAACAACAGTCAGTCAACCAGCATCCCTGGTGTTGTGTTTTTTTTTGTTCAACCTATCGATGCAACTGCAACTACAACTGCAATTGCAACTTTTCGATGCGTTCGGTTGTAAATAAATCGGAAAACTATTGTTCCGTGACGAATGGAAAAATTCAACAACTAATTTTAACATTTCTTCTTTTTTGTTTTTTTTTTTTTTTATTCGAGTATCCATAATTTGTTCGAAAGTATTTAATTAATACGATTTTTATTATTATTTGTAAATTTAATAAAATTATTTTAATTATAATAAACGTATCTTTTTGTTAGCTTTTTTTATTTTGGTTAAAATCGATTGAAAATTATATCGATTAGAAAGAATTGTAAAATGTGATTTTCAACTAAGTGAATTGGATTTAACGTTTAGTCCTTTTTTTAATACTCTACTGCAACCAACCTACCTTCATACTACTCCTGCATATAGGTAGGAAAGCATTCTTATCTGCTGAACCAATAACCCACTTTCATACGTGTCGCTCGATAACTTTCCTATTGTTTTCTTTGAACACGAGTCCGCAAATTTTTCTCCAAAGACAACATATATATATATATATATATATATAGTACATACGTCGAGTAAAAGTGTCATGTTAAATTAAATGTGAAAATATATAACTAACATGCTTATCATTATTCAAATATATAAAAAATGAAATAACCAATGCCTTGTTTTCGAGATGAAACATTTTGAATTATAAATTTGGAACTCTCTTATACGATTATTATATTTTAACAAGTAAATAATTTTTTTTTTAGAATGATTATACAAGTAAGATTTCAAAAAATGTAAATACTTACTTACAAATTATTGTAAGTAGTATATGTGGCTGTGAATTTAGATGTTACATGTATCCAATGATGCACTGTTAATATAACAACATAAAACAATAAATGCAATATGCTATTTAAAAAGCTTTAAAGTACAGTGAGATTCGATTATTATTGTAATCACGGATAATAATGTTATCAGCTATAGTTATCATAATCAATTGATCTTTATATATGATCAGTTAAAAATAATCCTTCTGTTATAATCAAACTTCGACTATTGGTTCTCAATTACACATGGTAACAAGTGATAAGAATATTTTATAATTGAATTCTTACTAAATAATTTAAATTCGATTAAAATTTCTTTTAACATGAAACACATAATCTTTTCTTTTTTTTTTCTTTTTCTATTAAAATATAAAAATATACAAATAAATTATTATCTTAATAATTATTAATATTATTTTTATATTTGGGGGTAGAAAAAACATTTAACCAATTTTTTCAAACATCCTACATATATAATATTTTATTAATAATACTACGATATTATGATAATTATAAATTGCATACGTGTGCCACAATTGTTATTGTTTTTTTGTTTTTTTTTTCTTAATTTGTAGGTACGGAGGAAGGTAATCGTCAAGAAGTAGCACGTGTACAGGAAAGTGTTTCGATTAATTCTCTGAGGATGGGTTGTTGCGGATGTTCCGACGAGGTCTCCTCTAAGGTGGAACCTAGGGTAAGTTACAAAAAAAAAAAAAAAAGAAAATACACCACGTCCCTAATTTACGAGGAAAATAAAAAAAAAAATACCCTGATAATATAAATTATCGGTAAAATATTAATACAAAAAGAAATACATCGATACTGTTGATGAAAATTCAAATTTCTTTTGATCGTTGATTACATTTGAAATTTACATTATCAAAATCTCTTAACAAAACTTATCAATTATAATGTTCCGTGAAAAGTATTTTTTAATATTATTTACACGTTTGTAATGTAGATAAATAACGTTGATAGTAGAATGTAATAAACTTAATGAATCATTCGTTGGATCGTTATAATACATACGTATATACATATGTATAGATGCTATTCGTATCTACACGGCTAATAAGAAAATGTAATTAAATCATTTCATTAATCTAATTGGATTACTATCGCGATGACCAAACAGGATTGGCCATTAGAGAAGGGTGAAAGAATAAAACCTTTTTTCATTTTATCTACGTGAAAGTTGCGAACGGAAATGAAAAGTATATATATATATATATATATACTTCTATATAAGTATGTATAT